TTGGACATCTCCCTCCTTGTCTTCCATCCTCCTGGTCCTGGTACTTGGTATTGAATATATACTATTGTTTTCCTCCTCTTTTGAGGCAAGCAGCTAATTTCTCCTTGATCCTGGCTCTCTGCCAAAAGTGAGTAGCAGTATTGATGATTTCATCAATATGCTGGGATTTTCACTTACTAAGGCTGTTCAGCTATTGGGGATGCTTTTTCTCTTTTTGTCTGACACACTCCCAGGCACTATTTAAATAGGGGCACTATTCATAAAGATGTGGGCAGAGTGTAGGGAAGCCACAGAGGATGGCCTAGAGCCTCTAGCTAGTGACAGAGGGGCACAGTTTGCTGAATCTAGGCCTGCGGGGGCAAGGGATGGAATGGGGACTGGAACCTGGTGAGGGAGTTCTGTGTGAAGAGGTGCCCTAGGAGAACCCTCATTTTTTAAAAAAAAAGATTATTTAGTTATTTATTCATGAGACACACACACACACACACACACACACAGAAGTGGAGACACAGGCAGAGGGAGAAGCAGGCTCCATGCAGGGAGCCCGACATGGGACTCCCGGGTCTCCAGGATCACACCCTAGACTGAAGGCGGTGCCAAACCACTGAGCCACCAGGGCTACCTCCTAGGAGAACCCTCATGCACTGCTGATGGGAATGCAAGCTGGTGCAGCCACTATGGAAACCAGCATGGAGGCTCCTCAAGGAGTTGAAAATAGAGCTACCCTAGGACCCAGCAATTGTACTACTAGGAATTTATCCAAAGGATACAAAAATGCTGATTCAAAGGGGCACATGCACCCCAGTGTTTATAGCAACACTATCAACAACAGCTGAATTATGGAGACAGTCCACATCTCCATCGACTGATGAATAAAGAAGATGTGGTAGGTATATACAATGGACTATTATTATTCAGCCATCAAAAAGAATGAAATCTTGCCATGTGCAACAATGCAAATGGAACTAGAGGGTATTACACTAAGCGAAGTAAGTCAAAGAAAGACAAATATCACGATTTCACTCGTGTGGAATTTAAGAAACAAAACAGATGAACACAGGGGATGGGAAGGAAAAACAAAATAAGATAAAAGCAGAGAGAGAGGCAACCATGAGACTCTTACCACAGAGAACAAACTGAAGGTTGCTGGAGGGGGGTAGGGGCGGGATGGGGGATGGGCATGACGGAGGGCACTCGCTGGGATGAGCATGGGTGTCATATATGTAAGTGATGAAACATCGAATTTTACTCCTGAGACAAACCAACAAAAAGGCCTCTCCATGAGGGCTGTGACTCAATGTTCCTGGACTGTACATGGAGAGAACCAGGGGCATAGAGACTGGCTCTACTCCCCTCCTTCCTTCCATTCCCCTACCAAGACCTCCCACTGGTGGTACCAACTGGAGCCTGACTGGGAGCAGAGAGCCAGGGGATGAAGTCCAAAGAAGTCAGCCTCCTGAGGGACAGAACTGGGTGAAGAGCACAAAGTGGGTGCAGATCTGGCTGGGCAGATGGAAGCTACTCCGTGTAAGTACTTATCAATGTTATGGTGCTCGACAGGGGCCCTCCAAAATTCCTATGTTGAACTCCTAACCCCCAGTACCTCAAGATGTGACTGTGTTTGGAGATACTCTTGAAAGAGATAGTGAAGTTAAAATGAGGCCATGGGGTTGGGCCCAGATCCAGTATGACTGCTGTCATAATAAAAGGACACGGACACATACAGAGGGAAGACCATGTGAGGACACAGGGAGCAGGTGACCGCCTGCAAACCAAGGAGAGAGGCCTCAGAAGCATCCAGCCCTGGCAAGTTTGACTGGGGACTTTTAGCCTCCGGAACTGTGAGACCCAGTCTGTGGTACTTGTTATGGCTGCCCTAGCAGACTACTATAATCCACACGCTATTCAGCCCATAATTTATCTATTATGAATTTGTTTCTCTGTCTCCCCCACTGGGCAATCAGCTTCTCCAGGACTCAGCACAGGGCCAGGTAGTTGCTTAAATGCTTGTGAGATAAATGGATCATTTAGCAAGAAAGCAAAACAATAAGGCAATTTATCAAATACCAAAATGCTACAGTCCCAGATGGCAATGGGGGGTGGGTTACAGGTCACAAGAGGAACAGTGATGCCTTAACTGCCATTGGTTGTTACTTGATACTTGTTATTTACCAGCACTTGCTATGTGCCAGGTGTTACGATTAGGGCTTTACACGAATGGTGGCTTCAACTCTTGCAGCAAGCCACACAGATAGTTGACACAGTTTAGTGGGCACATCTCCAGGGGCTGAGCAGTGTAGTAAAAGGAATAAGGTTTTTTGGAGAGTTTACAAGTTCTGTTTCCTTCTGTGTAAGACTGCCAGGACTTTACCAATGGCTTCAGGTAGTTGAATAATTAAACGGGACGATCCATATTCCTGGTGCAGTGCGTGGCATGAGTGTGTCAGCTCCTTGCAGCCTTGAGAGGTCCTGGTGAGAAGACAGAAGCCCCTAATGTCACATTACCTGCCCCCAGCTGCCGGACAGCTTCTTCCTTTTCCTGAATGAATGCTCCACGGGGTGCATACTTCCTGTTGCGGGCTCGGAGGGTTCCCAATTCATCTTGCTCACACATCCCCAAGGTCCTTCTATCTACCCACCAGCATTCCCCTGGCTCAGTCACAGAGGCACTACTATATAGGATGCTGGAGGGGAAACTTTAAAGACTCAAAAGAGGAAGGAATCTTTTTTTTTAAGTTTTTATTATTATATATTCATTTATTCATCATCATTATTTATTTATTTATTTATTTATTATTTATTTATTTATGATAGACACAGAGATTGAGAGAGAGGCAGAGACACAGGCAGAGGGAGAAGCGGGCTCCATGCCGGGAGCCCGACATGGGACTCGATCCCGGGACTCCAGGATCACGCCCTGGGCCAAAGGCAGGCGCCAAACCGCTGAGCCACCCAGGGATCCCCAATCTTTTTTTTTTTTAAGTTTTATTTATTTATGAGAGAGAGAGAGAGAGAGAGAGAGGCAGAGACACAGGCAGAGGGAGAAGCAGGCTCCATGCAGGGAGCCCAACGTGGGACTTGATCCTGGGACCCCAGGACCACATCCCGGGCTGAAGGCAGGCGCTAAACTGCTGAGCCACCCAGGGATTCCAGGAAGGAACTTTCTAAGATCTAGAGGAAAACCTCCACCTTGCAATTCCTCCCCTACTGAGGGTTTGGGTTCTTGGCTCTCCTCCCTGATCTTGGGATAAACTCTTTGACTTCTTTACCAGTGGTAATGGCAGTGGCCTGGGGGGGCAGGCCGGAGTGGGAGAAGGGAAGTGTGTCTGTGGTCTGGGCTGGCAGCTAGCTCTGGCTTGGACAGAAATAGAAACTTGTAATGGGGCTGGGAAGACTATATTTAGCTGGGAGCATGTTTGCTCTCCCTGGAACAGAGTCTTCCAGACCTTCCTAGGACTGGGAGATTGGAATCTCTACACTTGGCCCAGCAGCCAGAACTGTGTTCTCTCTTCCCTGTGCCACAGGTCCCTGCAGCAACAATGAAACCCGCCTTAGTTTAGCCCTGGGCCTGAAATCACCCTGCCCCCTGCCCCAGGGGCCAGTTTTGTCTGACCTCGGCAGGTCTACCAATCTCCAACTTGAGGCATAGTTAAGGAGGGCTGTGGGTTCTGGGAAAGGCCCAGGCTGCACTGGAAGTCTGGCTCTGTCAGGTATCTGACAAGGAACCTTCCCCCACCCCACCCCCCCGCCGTGGTCTTTCTCATCTATAATAAGGCTAATAATAGCTACCATCTGGGTAGGTGTGTGGACTCCAAGATCGCCCAAACAAGCAGCAACTGCTCCTCAAACATTACTTCCCTCCTCCCTACCAGCCTCCCATGGAGCGGGAGGGCTCTGGGATGACTTGGTGCTCTTTCTCGCTGACAAAGAAGACAGTGGGCTCCCAGGAACTATTTTGTGTGTATGTGATTCAAAACATTTCATTGGATCAAAAAGTTCAAATATGGACAAAAAACTCTTTACAGGCCAAACTCTGAGGGAAATATATAGAAAAAAAAAATCAATCTTCCGGTCTTGTAGTCTCGCTGGAGATAACGCATGTCCCCAGGTGTGTGCGCCTTGCACGTAGTTGGTTTGTTTTTTGTTTTGTTTTGTTTTTTTTTGCACGTAGTTTCTATCTTCATACGAACACTTATAAAGGGGTCTTTTCTTTGAGCAGGTTAGGAGCCCATAAGATGCGTGTCTGCAACTTCCTTTTTCATTGAACTAGAAGTCCCGGGCACTCATCTTAGGTAAACACACGGGGCTCTAACTTGTCCGTCGTAGGAGCCGCACAGGGGGGCGGGGGATACACTCCTCCACGTGACGTTCCGCGCCGCTACGATGCTGCAGTGACGGCCCTTCAGTATCCTCGTGGAATCGCGCCGTGATTTCCCTGGGGTACGCTCCTCCAAGTATTATTATCGGACCAAGGGGTGACCCCGAGGTTTCGGGGTCTCCGTCTCGCAGTTTGCTGGGTCCTCTTTGGCTTCTCCAGCTCCGCGGAGGAGCGAGTCCGCGAGCCTTCCGCCGAGGGAACACCTGCGGGCCGCGGCGCCCCGACGCGCGCGGGGGCACGAGGTGCTCCGAGGCCGCCACCCTCGCGGTCCCCGGCCTCGGCTTCCTCCTGCGGAGTCTGCGGCCCCCGGCAAGACGAGGCGCCATCCGGGCCTAGCGCCGGGGCGACCGCTCATCTCCGCCTTACGCGTGTCCGGGGCTGGCTGGCTCCCCAGACGCAGGCTGCGCCTCCCTGGCCGCCCATCGCCTTCCCTCCGCGCCGCACCCCCCCCCCCCCCCCGATCGGTCGTGTATTGCTTCTGCCCGGCTCTGGCCCGCTCCCGCCCTTTTCGGCTCGGCTATCGAGTGCTCCCGTCTGAACCCGGCCGAGGGCCGAGGGCCGCGCCAGTTCGGCCCATCCTTTGCTTCTGCCTGGCCTGGCTCTCCGGCGGGGGCTGTGGAGAGAGCGCCGCGATCCTCGGCTCGGCCAGCGGCCTAGTTCGCCTGCCGCTGGCGCTTCCGCTTCCGCTTCCGCTTCCGGGAGCCCCAGGCCCTCCGCGTCCGAGGCGCCAGGCATGGCGAGGAGCCGGCTGGAGACCGTGGGGAGCGTTTTCTCGCGGTGCGTGCTCCGAGCCCGGGGTGGGCTGAGGGTCCCTCCCCCGGGCGGGGGCTCTCGACCGCTCCCGCTCTTCCTGGGTGCGTCCGCGAGCGCGGCGAGGCATTCTCCGGAATGCGGGGGTCTGAGCCGGGCGAGGCCTTTCGTGCGGTCTCCTGCCTCCGAATAGGTTGCGCTTGACGACGCCACTCCCTGAATGTGTTTCTCCCGTTCACGGCCGCACCTGTGCCGTTAGGCGAGTGCGGTTCGCTAGGAAGACGGAAGGAGGAAGAAGCAGGTGGGCCGCGCCGGGCCACCTGTGCATTTCCCTGGACGCGATGGGGATGGGGCTAAGGGGGTGGAACGCACGCGACAAAACAGAAGGACTTACCCTCTGAGCATTGTGCGGTTGGTTTGGAATATGGAACTATCAACTGTGGGTGGGGAGCTCGCGTGTCCCGGCCTCCTTCCCCTTCTGTCTTGCGGACTCCGTGATCCTGCTGGTGCCCCAGGCTGGGATTACGCAGGCTGGCCTCCCTGACCCACCCTCGTTATTTTTCCTTCCATAAGGACTCGGGACCTGATTCGGGCTGGAGTGTTGAAGGAGAAGCCCCTTTGGTTTGATATATATGATGCCTTCCCCCCGCTAAGAGAGCCGGTCTTCCGGAGGCCCCGCTTGCGATACGGCAAAGCGAAAGCTGCTATCCAGGACATTTTGTACCCGGAGGATCGGATTAGAGCGTGAGTGCAAAGCCCGCACGGTGGGCAGAAGGCAGCAACACTTTGGAAGGAAACACCGAGCGAGCGGTCTGATAACTTTAACCCGAGTCCAGCCAGGGCTTGCCCTATGGAGAAGGTCTTGCGTAGCTACCCAGTCAGGGAGTCAGTGCCCCGTGCATATGTGAGAGAAACTAGTTCTGGCAAGTAGAATCTGGAGCCCAGCAGTGGACTGATTACTGTAATTACAGCTTTCCTTTGCTGTGCGTCTATTAGCATTATGGTAAGCCCTTAAAAAAACGTTCTCTAACTTAGGTCTTACTCTGACCCTACAACATAGGTATCTTGTGTCCATTTTATTCATGCGGACTAGGAGGCTCAACGAGGTCAGCTCACTGGGAATCGGGGGCAGAGCTCTTTCCCTGAATTTCTTATTTTTAAGGATTTTTATTTATTCATGAGAGACACAGAAAGAGGCAGAGACACAGGCAGAGGGAGAAGCAGGCTGTCTGCGGGGAGCTGATGCAGGACTCTATCTCAGGACCTTGGGATCGAGACCGGGACCAAAGGCAGACACTCCACCACTGAGCCATTCAGGTGGCACTCTTTCCTTGAAATATTGATGTCAGTTTTTGGTACATAGAATTTATGTGATTCTTTCCTTCTTTCTTTTTTTAATATTAAGATCGGGGGTGCCTGGGTGGCCCAGCAGTTGAGCATCTGCCTCTGACTCAGGGAGTGATCCCAGGGTCTGGGATCAGGTCCCACATCGGGCTCCCTGTGGGGACCCTGCTTCTCCCTCTGCCTGTATGTCTGCCTCTCTTTGTGTGTCTCATGAATAAATAAATAAAATCTTAAAAAAAATAAAAAAGATCAGAAGTTGTACAACGTAATGCATATTCCTTATTCTTTTTTAAAGATTTATTAAGACTTATTTTTTAGAGCGCTTGCACAAAGGGAGAAAGACTCCCAGGCACCCTAGATTTATTTATTTATTTATTTTTAAATTTTTTAAATTTATTTATGATAGAGAGAGAGAGAGAGGCAGAGACATAGGCAGAGGGAGAAGCAGACTCCATGCACCGGGAGCCTGACGTGGGATTCGATCCCAGGTCTCCAGGATCGCGCCCTGGGCCAAAGGCAGGCCCTAAACTGCTGCGCCACCCAGGGATCCCGATTTATTTATTTTATAGAGAGAGCATGCACACCAGAGTAGAGGCGAGGGGGTGGGGGAGGGAGGGAGGGAGAGAGAGAGAGAGAGAGAGAGAGAGAGAGAGAAGTAGATTTCATGCTGAGCTCAGAGCCCCAAGCAGGGCTCGATCCCTTGACCCTGAGACCATGACCTGAGCCAAAACCAAGAGTCAGATACTCAACTACCATACCCTCCCTTATTCTTATCTCTATTTCTGGATGTAAGAAAACAATTTTTGAAGTCATTATATTCTTTTTTTTTCTTCTTTGAAGTCATTATATTCTTTTTTTTTTTTTTTTTTTAATTTTTTTTGTTTTATTTATTTATGATAGGCACACAGTGAGAGAGAGAGAGGCAGAGACATAGGCAGAGGGAGAAGCAGGCTCCATACACCGGGAGCCCGACGTGGGATTCGATCCCGGGTCTCCAGGATCGTGCCCTGGGCCAAAGGCAGGCGCCAAACCGCTGCGCCACCCAGGGATCCCTGAAGTCATTATATTCTTATTTGAGGTCTAAGCCCCTTTCATTTGAGGACTCTCCTCCCCTGGCCTCCAATACTTCTTGAGGTGGGAGGACAAGTATGTTCTTAACTCTACTTATAAATTTTCAGGGTAATATCTGAGATCTTTGGGGGCATTAAATACTTTGTCACTGCTTTTCTGGGTGGGCTCATTGCATGCACTTAGTCAGGATTTATTTATTTTTATTTTATTTTTTTTTAAAGATTTTATTTATTCATGAGAGACAGAGAGAGAGGCAGAGACAGAAGCAGTCTCCATGCAGGGAGCCTGATGCGGGACCTGATCCTGGGACTCCAGGATCACGCCCTGGGCCGAAGGCAGGCACTAAACTGCTAAGCCACCCAGGGATCCCTTAGTCAGGATTTATACATTAAAATCATTTGTGGGTGTCTTAGTCTTTTGAGTATTGGATTCTTGATTTTAGCTCAGGTCATGATCTCAGGGTCCTGGGACTGAGCCCTGCATTGGGCACCATGCAGAGTCTGCTTGGAGTCTCTCCCTTTCCTTCTGCCTCTTTCCTGGCTAATGTGTGCATTCTCTTGCATGCTCACTTGCTCTCTCCCTCTCTCTCTCAAAGTTAAAAAAAAAAAATCTTTTGTGTCTACATGGATAGTAGGAATTGGCTGATAGGTTATTGGAGAATGTGGAATATTTTACTACTCCCTTTTTTATTAGTTTTAATGCCAAGATGATAATACTTTGAATTTAAATAAATTTTTGAACCTTTATTTTTGTGGCTTTTTTTTTTTTTAGTGTTTTTGCTATTTTAAAGAACTTACAACAACAAAATAAACTCCAGACATATCAAAACCTAAAGGTAAAAAATTAACTCATAAAAGTACTAGAAGAAACCATGACAGAATTTTAAAAATAATCTGAATGAGAAAGACCTTTATAAGTACAACATAAACCCCAAAGCCATGAATGAAAATATTAAAATTTTCTGCTCCCAGAAAGTACCACAAGCAGAATCAAAAGTCATTCAACATATTGGGGGGGAAAAATTTGCAACAGGTATGACAAAGGGCTCATTTCCTATTTATAGTGGTTTAAAATTTGCTTATAAATCAAGAAAAAAACCACAAACCACCAAATGGAAGGCAAAGAACATGGACAGAGCCCAGAAAAGGAGATTCAATTTGCTTTAATTTTTTTTTTAAGATTTTATTTATTTATTCATGATAGAGAAGCAGGCTCCTTGCAGGGAGCCTGATGTGGGACTCCGTCCCTGAACTGGGATGATGCCTTGAGCCAAAGGTCGACACTCAACTGCTGAGCCACCCAGGTGTCCCTTCAATTTGCTTTTAAACATGAAAAGACGCCCAGTGTTTTTCATAAGAAAAGGCAAAAGTACAATGAGTTCTCATTTTTCACCTGTCAAACTGACAAAGATCAAAAAGTTGGAAAATAGAGTTTAGCTAGGTTATGGAGAAATAGATGCTCTTCCTACATTATTGGTGTGAGCATAAACTGCTATAGCCACTTTGGGAAGCATTTGGCAGTTTTATAAGGCCATGTTACAAATGCACATACTTTGAGCTAATAATATTGTTTTTATGAATTTATTCCAGGTTCATTTGCATAGTGTCCTAAGAAATATTGATAAAGGTAATCATTGCAGCACTGTCTAAAGGAGCAAAAAATTGAAAACAATCTAGTTCACTGATTTGAAATGATCTCTAAGAACTATTATGTAGAAGAAGCAAGATGTGGAACGCCTGGGTGGCTCAGCGGTTGAGTGTCTGCCTTCAGCCCAGGGTGTGATCCTGGAGACCCAGGATCGAGTCCCATATCAGGCCCCCTCCATGGAGCCTGCTTCTCTCTCTGTTTATGTCTCTGCCTCTCTCTCTCTCTCTCTCTCTCTCTCTCTCTCTGTCTTACATGAATAAATAAATAAAATCTTTAAGAAAAAAAAAAAGAAGCAAGATGTGTAGTAGTGTTTCCTGTTAAACTGTGTCACTGGGTTCAGGGAATGATAAATGCGTATATGGTTGTATGTTAGAACATTCTTGGATGGTTACACAAGAAACTAGTTAGTGCTGCTTCCTGGGAAGGTACTGGGGGTTTGGGGACAGGTGAGCAGGACTGTTAACTTTTCATTGGATACCTTTTTGTAATATTTGGTGTATTTACTATGTGTATGCACTACTTATTACAAAAAAAAAAAAAAGTGTGTGCCTGGCCTAGTAATTTTTTTTTTCTCAGTTCTTGGCCATGATCTATAAATGGAGATTTACACTGTGTTGTTTATATTTTCTAGGAAATTTTATTCAGCCTATGGATCTGGTCAGAAAGTTTTTGATCTGTTCAATCCAAACTTCAAGTCTACCTGTCAACAGTAAGTCATTTTACAAGTCCTGGGTTAGTTTTTTTGTTTTTTAAGGAATTTAGTTAGCATTTTGAGGAATTTTGTTGAATTCCACTGGAGGAAAAAGCCCTGGCTCCTGTAGGAAGACCTGTTGAGGGAATGCTTGATACTGTGTAACAGTGTATCTTGAGGACTCTAGATATACAGACCTCAGATGTGACTGCTTGGAATTCCAGGTTTGTGGAGAAATACATTGAGCTCCAGAAACTCGGAGAAACAGATGAAGAGAAGTTATTTGTGGAAACAGGGAAGGCTTTATTGGCAGAAGGTGTCATTTTGAGACGAGTAGGAGAAGCAAGGACTGTGAGTATTTTTTAAGTAAGATTTTTATTAGGATTAGTTGTCAGTTCGTTAGAAGTTAAAGGAAGGCTTGGTTTTCCTTCTACAACCTTGGCTTATGTCCCTGAACACCAGGTCAAATACTGGTATTAAATATACTGAAGTTAAAAAAAATAGATACATGTATACACACACACACATATACTGAAATGTGATAGTAACTGCTATTTGGAACAAGTGAGTTGTCATTAGGGCTTTTGAAATTATGATTCTGTAGGGATTTTTATCCTGTATGTTGCTTGTTACAATAGAATTTGACCTGGGATATTAATGTTAAGTTTGACTCCATGGTAGAATGTGCTTAGTCATACAGCTTCTGCCAGTCAGTGGAGCAAAAATGACAATATCCATGTGATATATTTATGTCCTTTTAAGCACAAGGAAGGTAGTCACGTTTCCTGGAAATCTGAACCCAAGGATGCCGAACCCCAAACAGTATTGGAAAAAAAACCAGCCTCTGCAAGAACTTCCACAGGACCAGCATTCGGAGGCTTCTGAAGAACAGTCGAAAGGTCTTTCACCTCCCTGAAGAACTTGTATACCGTGTATACTGACATCCAAACTGTGTTCACTAGATGAATGTTGAACTGTTTTTAACAGTTGAACTGTGTAAATGTTTCACAGTCTCTAAGGCAATATGTTTGTCTTCTTTTAGTTTCTATTTCTAGGTTGTCATAAATCTCAGTTTCACGGTTTAAATGAACTTTTATGTTGGGACGATATTAAATAAAGAATTCCCTGACTGTTTATAAAGTAAATTTACTTTAAAAGTGTAAATAACATGAAGAAACCTTTATAAGCATTGTTTGAATGGGACTCATTCTGACTAGGTTTGCTTGGATTTTTGTGTTAACATGTGGGTTAGCTATATTTGGTTCTCAGGTATCTTTCTCTTTTCTGGCTCCTTCAGGCTTTTACTTGTGCATTTGGTATGTCCCCTGGGCCACCTGTTTCTGTTAACCCATAATCTTTACATTTTGCTATAGAGCTGTTGATCTTCAGCTTAAGAGGCCCAGCTGACCTGTGCTTTGTGGTAAGAGTAAGAACCTATCATTGATGATAGACCAAGGTCAAAACCATAGCTTTAATCTCATAGACTTAAGAGTTCTGGAGACAATTAGCATATGCCCAAACATAGTCTGCTCAGTAAAGATTTGAATGAATAAACGATTACATTCAGCTAAAGACTGAATTCAGAGAACAAGTATAGATAACTGGATTGCCAAGAGGGGGCCAGCTCAGTTAGACACTGCTCTCCACCACCATCCACTTGTCTCCGTGGTGTAGAGATGTACTTACAAGACCGTACGAACTGTTCTCCTTTCTTCATTTTCATATCTTCTGCTGAATAAATGAAATATTCTTCTGAGCCTTTGTTTTTGTGATCAGGCCAGTGGTTTTCAGCTACTGGTAATAAGCTGCTTCAGAAATTCTTTATTTTAAAACTCACATAGCTTTTCTGTTGTTTATGTAGAGTCTCTTTTGTCTCCTGGTAGACCAGGGGCAGAGCCCCCATCTCAGCATGTGCACGGCCTGGCACACAGTGCTCTGCGAATGAAAGGTGAATAGTACATGAGGCAAGAGCAATTCTCAGCCACGCTGTATCTCCCTGCCACCTCTGTCACTATTCTGCAATTCCTCGTTTGTGGAATGCTTTACTTTTAGATGGGAAAATAAAGTTCATCCATTCAACAGCCATAGCCAGTGAGTGCCAAGCCTTGGAAGGAGGACTTAAACGGGTGGAAGAGACAGTTTTGTTCTCAGGGGAACAATTGTGGAGGGAGGGTCTCTTGTTACTTTTCTAAACCTTATGTTTCTGGGGCTTCGAAGGTAGTTTCTTTGCCATAATGGTGAAGACATTTTTAGAAAGTTGTTTGATGTATATATTTTCAAAATTTTTATTAGAGAGAGAGAGAGCATGAGCAGGGGGCACAGAGGGAGAGGGAGAGGGAACCTGAAGCAGGCTCTGCACGGAGTGTGGAGTCCAATCCTGGGTTCAGTTTCACCACCAGTTTGAATGGTGATCTTGATCTTCCAAGATCACGACCCAAGCTAAAACCTGAGTCAGATGCTTAACCCACCATGCCACCCAGGTGCCCCTGATGCATCATTATTTTAAAAAACTATACATGCAGATGGTTCAGAATTTAGGTAAAAGGGTGGTTTCCTTTCCAAAATCCGTCTCCAGCCACCTGTTTCTCTCCCCTAAGGCCGCCACTATCCCCATTTCCTTCCCAGGAGTATTTTGGGATATGCATTAGAACACTGTGCTTGCTGTCCTTTACCTCGTTTTCCCACTTAACATGTCAGATCCTTTGTGTGGTTGCATAGTGATTTAATCAGTGCCCAAGTGACAAAAGTGGCTCTGTGTTTACTCGTGCTGCAGACAAGGCCAGTGCTGTGTGGCTGCATCCTTCTCAGTGGTATACTACTGGAAGAGCTGGTCTTTAATGTCCAATTGTCCTCCATAGAGACTACTCAGCTCTACTCCCACCAGCAGAATACGGAGATGCCTGTATCTCTGGAACCCACCAGTACCTTTCCATCATGTTCTTGTTTTTGTTTTTTTTTTTTTTAAGATTTTATTTATTTATTCATGAGAGACAGAGAGAGGCAGACTCACAGGTAGAGAGAGAAGCAAGCTCCGTGCAGGGAGCCTGATATGGGACTTGATCCCAGGATTCCAGGATCATGCCCTGAGCTGAAGATGGCGCTAAACCGCTGAGCCACCCAGGGACCCCCATGTTGGTTTTTTTTTTTTTTTAAGATTGTATTTATTTGAGAGAGAAAGCATGAACAGAGTGGGGGAGGGGCAGAGAGAGAAAGAAGCAGACTCCTCCTCACTGAGTGTGAAGCCCAAGGTAGGGCTCAATCCCAGGACCCAGAGAACATGATATGAGCCAAAGTCAGACACAATGATTGAGTCCCCCGGGCACCCTCGTTTCCATCTTTTTAAACCAGACTAGACTCTTCCCTGAGGAGAGCCTAAGCCTGGTAGAAGGGAGAGAGACTAGACATAGCAAACTTCCGTTAGGTTGAATTTCGGTGGTCAAACTAGTGAAAGTGAAATTTATTGGGAAATTCAGAGCCCTTCTCACAGTTGGTGTGGGCAAAATCCATTGTCGGGATAGAGATGCTCAGAGAGAATGGAAGTGCAATCTCATTCTTGCATTAGGGAGCTTAAAATCTAATTGAGAAGATGAGTGACTTTGGAAACAATAAGATGAACAGGAATTCTTTTAAGTTATGGTCTAAAATAATGATTTGAGTCGGGGAGGAGCCAGCTCTGGACTAGTCCAGGAATACTGGATGGAGAGCCTTGAAAGGCAGGGGGAGTTGAAGTATGCATGAAGGAGGCCTGCTGGGAGCGCCCTTCCTGCCACCACAGTCTTTAGAAAACTTTTCACTGCCATTTCCAAATGGTACCTGTTCAGGAGCTCCTGGCTGGCTCAGTTGGTAGAGCATGCGGCTTCTGATCTCAGGGTCCTGAGTTCAATCCACATGTTGGGCATAAAGCTCAGTTAAAAAAAAAAAAAAAGAAAAGTGGTACCTGCTTGGAAATGTTACCTGACATTCAAATCAGATCTCCAGGCCCTTACTGAGCCCTTTCCAGGCTGTACTAATGCACATTCAGTTGGCACACCTGCCTCCCCCTGGTCGTGCATTCCAGGGGGAGCTACCTTCTTTCTCTTCAGTGTAAACAGGTGCAGAAATTCTTCCTTATACCACTGAAGCATTAAACAGCCTTTTTGGGGTGGGCCCTCCAGTGTGGGTTTGCTGAGCTGAAGGCAGGAAAAGCATGTATCCAGGTTACAGGGCAGTTTGCAAGGACAAGTTTGAAGATCTGGGACTAGTTCAGGTTACTCCTGTTTTTGCTGATACGACTTTGTGCCTATGTGGGTCTCAGACTACAAAGTAGGGAAAATGTTTGCCTCTGGCTTCTAGTTAGTTTTTTGAAAATGGAGACAGAGAATGCAAAGCTCATTTACAATATGTGTGATAGATGCTTCTGTTATTCTTGAGGAGTAGTGGAAAACAGGTTTGAACAGATAGTGTGGGGTCAGATCATGGTGGCCTCAGTAACTACCTTAAGTTGTTCAATGGGGTATAATAAATTGTGAACAGGGAAGTAATGTAGTGAAAGCAATATCAGGTGGAAGGAAGATTCACTCAGGTGTGATCCAAAGAATGAGGTTGGTGGAATGGGCAGGGAGCAGGGAGGGCGGGAAGAGGAGACCTGTCAGACTTTGCTCTCTGCAGCCATGCCAATTGGAGGCAGATTCCAGGGCTACAAACCTGAGTGACCAGAAGAGTAGCTGCATCACTAACAGCAAGGTTGGGAAGAGGGCTTCAGTTCTCAACATACTGAGAGGAGATATTGCATCGTTCAAATAGCAGACAGATAAGTGAGATGTCTGGAAGATGGAGAGGGAGTCCCTTGCATAGGGGTAAGGGTTGGAGCTAGGAGAATGAATGAACTCTCCAAGGACAGTGCAGAGAGGCACAGGGTGTTGGGGGCTGAGCCAGGTGAATGCTCTTAGTTAAGGGACAGGAGGAACGAGAAGGCTAAAAAAGGAAACAGGTCCCACATCTTCCACCATTGTCTAGCAAGGCTTTTTTTATGTGGTCCTGGATATATAAGGTTTTTTAGAGTTCCTCGATTTTGTTTGGTACGCCTGATTCTTGATCATGTGTCCTTAAAAGGCAAGCCCAAGTCTTTTTGTAATTTTGTGTAATATTTAGTATCATGTTCTCAGATAAAGTGGTATTATAGGAAAATTGGTACTCCCAAAGGATTCCTGATTTTTTTAAAATGATACCTTTCTTTTAAATAAATGATGGCTGGCCACTTAAAAACATTCCACAGATTCTCTCTTTAAAGAAAGTCATTCGGAAAAAAAAAAAAAAAGAAAGAAAGAAAGTCATTCGGGCAGCCCGGGTGGCACAGTGGTTTAGTGCTGCCTGCAGCCCAGGGCGTGATCCTGGAGACCCTGGATCGAGTCCCACGTCGGGCTCTCTGCATGGAGCCTGCTTCTCCCTCTGCCTGTGTCTCTGCCTCTCTCTCCCTCTCTGTGTGTCTCTATGAATAAATAAATAAAATCTTTAAAAAAAATAAAGTCATTCATGTGGGATAAGATTATCTCTGAGCCCGGTGCTGCCTCTGCTCTTGGGAACCCAGACAGGCGTGCAGGAGTCGTGGGGCCTCTTCCATCCTTCTAGGCTCTCAGCTATGACCAGGCCTAACTCAGAACTGGGCTGGCAATTTTCCTGACTATGTGGGCACTAGAGCAGACAACAAGATGTGGCTCTGGTCGTGGAAGTGCTGGTACTACCTCAGGAATGTGGAGCTAGGAACAGGGAAAGGTGAGTATGTGTGTGTGGTGGGGAGGGGAGCGAGATTATGACTTCGTGCAGGGTCTCCGTGTTCCTGAGCTCTTTTCCAGAACAACCCAAAGGTGGAGGACTGACTGGCGAGGTCAGTCATGTGTTTTGAGCCTTTGACGGCGCTCAGTGAGATGGATGCCTGAGCAGGTTCAGTGAGCAACTTGGTTGAAGTTACCTTGTCTGGCAGAGGAAGGGCACCTGCCCTCCTGTGAGAAAGACAGGAAATGGCTTCCAGGTCACTCCTAGGTAGCGCTCAGTGTGGCATGTGGGTGTGTGATTGGATGAGCCAGGTGTTGGAGCAGTTTCTATGGAGATGCTGAACCAGACAATTGTTTTTTTGTTTTTGCTGTGGCATTTAAGAGGTCGGTAGGGGAAGGCAAAGGAGGCAGGAAGTTGAGTGCTATGTCCCCTCCAGGATGTCACTGCCACCAACCCTTCCATCCATATGTATTACAGACAGAGGATTTTTGTTGAATGGTAGCTGACAATGAAATTACATCTGGGGTATAGTTTTACCCTCGATTGAGGCTTGTCTTGGACTGGAACTTAAATGTCAGTCACCTGACCTTCTAGTTGGTCCGTTCTTTTAATTAAAAGCTGGTTCTAAGCATCATCCAGTAGTGGTCTATTTATTATTTATCAAGCATTTTCCTTCCAGCAGTTAGTGAAAGGTCAGTGGCTTCAACGGATGCTTTGTTTTTGGTGAGTAGCTTAGATGAAAAAGATATACAATCAATCTCTGCTCCCTCCCGTTTGCTCATGGGCAGGACACTGTTTAATAGTCACTGTGGCATTTAGGACAGCAGGACTCTGAAACATGCAGAAAAGTGCATGTGCATCCCTTGCCGCTGAACATTTCTCCAAAAAGTAAACATCAGGTTGTGATTATGGTTAATAATGAGATATTGATTGTTTGAAAATGTCACCACCCGGGACCATTTGGCCCCAGAACCACTAGGTGGCGCTGCAGTCTCATGCAGCTCA